GGGAAATCGCCAGCTTCTGGGACTCTTCTGAAGCTTCCCAAGCCTCAAGTCCCAGAAGCTGGCGATTTCACCCCCTCTGACCCCTGGGGGGGGTGTGAGCCTCCAAAGGGTCCTAGGGTTTGTTCCATAAGATGGACCTCTCCATAAGGCTCACCAATTTTTAGGAGAAGAAAACAAATTATTTTTTTCCTGTTTTCTTCTCCTAAAAAGGTGCGTCTTGTGGAAAGGTGCGTCTTATGGAGTGAAAAATACGGTAAGTAACACGGAAGCCATCTGCCATTTTAAAACCTTCCTGAGCTCGGATTGCTTGCCATGGAAATACCAGGCTGGGCCCAAACTGAATGGTTTTAAAAGATTAAACCTAAATCAGATAGAAATTTCGGAATTTGGCATTCAGGAGAAGTCAACCAGAGCAAATAGGGGCTCTCTAGACAGGACAAGAAGCCCAGGACTATTTCTTCTTGCCTGACCAGTTCCCATTGCAGGGGCCAACCAACCCTTGGGAAGTTCACCCCACGAGGAGGGAAGGAGGGTATGCTGGTAGCATCTGTGTCCACACATGCACCTATGATTACCAAGTGGGGGCTCCCATGGGCACTGAACACTGGACAGTGTAAGTTCATCATTCCATCTCTGAAGGCTAGGTCTTTCGGTACGTGTAGAGCAGTTGTCTCCAACCTTGGGCGTCCACCACCACCACCTCTGCTGGCCAGGATTTCTGGGAATTGAAGTCCAAGAACATCTGGAGGCCCAAGGTTGGGGATCACTGGTGTAGAGAACCAACCTTGCTCACCACCAGATAGGTTCCCAGCTTCTAGGACATTCTTAAAAAATCTGTCTTAATAATTTATGGGCCGTCATGTCAATTCTGACTTATGGTAATTTGTTTTTCAGGGTTTCCCAAGTAGAAAAGACTCTCAGAAGTGATCTTCCCATCCCCTTCTTCTGGGGGATGCCCTGGGACTGTAAGTTTTCCCATCCCCTTCCTCTGGGGGACGCCCCAGGACTGTTGTGCAGCTGGCCCAAGGCCACCCAGGCTGGCTCTTCTCCCAGAGAGGCACAGTGGGGGAATCGAACACCCAACCTCTGGCTCCATAGCCAGAGACCTGTCCAGCTTTAAAAGTCCATACAGGTCTACAAATATAAAATATTTTTCTAAGACTAAGTTAACGTGCTGCAATACATCCAACCAAAAAGGGGGGCCGCCACCAGAAAACCCCACATTGCGTGCCTCAAAGCAAGCCTAAGAATTCACTGAAGGGGACACTTTATTTTTCAATAAACCAAGTGGCATCTGGTATCCCTGAAACATGAGTTTTTGGTCAACCAAGAACACCTCTAAGTCTTAGCCTAGATACCTAGACACTGAGTTATCTAAAGTGATAACTGAATTAAGATCCAAAATCTTTTCCTCTCTTTCCAACTGTACCTGTCAATACCATGTTGTGTAATTCGCTCGCACATTTTGAGACACTGCACCCTATTTTTGACTGTCACCAGCCTATCACTCATCCGTGCCGCTGGGCAATCTCCAATCTCCGCCTTAGGTTAGAGACGCCCATGTTTGCCCATCCATGTTAGAGAAACGCCCCTTTGTCTATTCAGCAGCATTATCTGTTTACTAGGCCTTTTCCGGCCCAATCAAACAGGGTAGGTTATGTTTCTACCCACCCACCTCCCGGCCACTTCCTCTGCACCAAGGACGTGACCTTGTCCCCCACGGCCTCTCACAGAAAGTCGAGTATCAATCGACAGCACAGAAGGATCGTATGTAAACATAATTCTCTTCTTCCAAACAACATGGGGGGGGGCAGGGAAGTCTTCTGTGTGTGTGTCTCTCTCTCTCTGCACGTTCTAATCAGCAGAGCTGGCCAAATGTTAGGTTGTTGGCATACAACTCCCACAGACCCGCCCGCCTGCATGGCCATGCATGAGGGATTTGGGAGCCTGGAGTTTGAAGAGGACCTTTTCTAAGCTCCACTAATAAATGTGTGTAGTGAGATGATAAGAGGCTGTTTGGGGGGGAAGGGTTAGCAGCATATCCTATGCCCAAATACATTAAGCTCTCTGCTCATTTACTAATAATCATCTTAGAAATTGTGGAGCCGGAAGGGACCCTCTGGATCACCGCGTCCAGCCCCTCCCTGCCAAGGAGGCACAGTGGGGAATCGAACTCCCAGCTTCTGGCTCTCCAGCCAAAAACCTAAAATACTGAGCTCTCCAGAAGCTCTAAAGTCTAAAGGACTATAATTACCCATAAGCCATATGTAATTTTAGTAAACATAGCTTGCCTTCCCCTCCCATAAAAACAAAAAGGCTGAATTAATAAGCATAATGCAGTTGGGGACATGGGGGTCTTTCTCGGTGGCTGCTCCCAGACTCTGGAACTCCCTCCCACTGGAGGCCAGCCGGGCCCCATCTCGGCTGTCATTCTGCAAGCAGGCAAACAACTTTCTCTTCGGGCAAGCTTCCCCTCAGTTGGCTGGCTGTCCGAGTGGGATTGTAAGAAAGATTGTTGTGCCTTACTGCTTTGACTAGGAAATCCTGGCCAGAACATCAAGTGGTGAACACTTCTGGGAATTTTAGTCCAAGAACTTCTGGGGACTCAAGGTCGGGCAACACTAGACCATCGGGCAGAATCATAGAATAATGGAGTCGGAAGGACCCTATAAGGCCATCCAGTCCATCAAATCTCCCGCTCAGGGCAGGAATCCAAATCCAAGCAGATCTGACGGACGGTTCCCCAATTTTCCCTTGAATCACCTCCAACACTAGAATCCTCACCTCCTTCCGAGGTCATGGGTTCCATCATCATACTGCTCTAACCGTTAAGACGATATTCCTGATATTCAGCCTAAATCTGGCTTCCTGCTGCTTGAGCCCATTCTAACGTGTCTGGGCTGGAATGTCAAAATCCTCTTGCATAGTTACATTGGGGTGGTGCTAATGATGACAGTACAATTTTGGGAGCAGCATTGCTTCCCTTGACGATGTCAACCTAAACCTTGCCTATGACATGCTGAGAGTCGCCCAACTCAGCACAAACGGGTAATGCTGGTTTCTTAAGAGGCAACGTGACTCTAAAAGATACGCCACTCCGCTTTATGCTGGCATAACTAACCCAGAAGATTTTGACCGGTATTTATGGGTTCTATGCATGATCCACACTTCATCAGATGAGTCAACAAGGCCAGTGCAAATTTTACGATCTGTCCCAGATGAAGCCGCCCTGGGGGGTGTGTGACTGGCACGGGCCTCTCTAAACCATCCTGCCGGCGACACCCCAAGATCCCCCCTCTAAGCAGAAACACCCTCTTACCCATGATGAGGAACGACAGCACCCATTGAAGCACCGAGATGACCTGCAGCTGCTTCTCAACTTGGGACTTGGAAAGCCAGGACAGATCCTGAAACGCCGAGAGGATGCTGGAGCCTGTACCTGGGGGAAGACACACAAACCAAGAATCGTGCTTAGCTGATGGTGCTTCAGCTCTTCCACAAAAAAAACAGAGTCAAGAACACAGAATTTTTATAATGTTCCCTTTTCTTTCTTTTAACTACAACTCCAAAATCCACTGCGACCACAGCAGGGGATCATGGGTCTCGTAGTCCATCCCAAAGGGAACTTCTCACAGTTCTGAGAGGAGGTAGGAAAGGCGTGGTGACCGTCTCTCCAGCTGCAGGCCATGGTGCCGCATGTCGGCCTTGAGCATACTAGAGGAATTTGCACATCCGTCCCTTCCTGCGGGCAGCAAACATGTTGTGAAGAGTATAAAAAGTGTGAGTCCTCAATAGATCACACACACACCCCAAAAAAGCTGATCTAAGACGTGGATCACTATCTCTCAGTAGGGATGGACCACACGTGTCCTGGCACTGCCACAATCCAAGCATGAGCATAATGCACCTTCCAAAACACACACATGTGTGCATGCATACATACAGATGCAAGCAAGCCCTGCTCCAGAAGTGGTTCGTGACCGGCGCAGGAGAAACGCTGCCTGTCCACCTTTCAGGTTTGATTTAAAGGTTTTTAAAACTGCAGGAAGAATTGTCCGTAGAATCCGTTCACAGAAATGGGAGTCTGAGGTGGAGCAATAAAACCTTCAGGTCCTCCACAACAGCTCAGATGATACAAAATGCCACGGGTGGCCTGATTATTATTATTATTTGAACTATTTTCCTTCAAGCAAGGAATTCCACCTTAAAAGAGGGAGCCCCCGAAGCCCACTGTCAACAGCAAGCGACACAGCCTCGTCCTCCCTGCTGAGGCGAGATTGATTTGGGCTGACTTTAACTTCCAGAAATCATTTCCAATTTTCTATCCACGCACATGACGTGACAGATGGGCAAATCTGTGCTCTGTTTTGTGCTGATTTCGGGGGGAAAGGAGATGCATGCCTTCTTTTTTTTTTTTTTTTTTTGGAGAGGTGAAAGCAACCATCCTTGCCGAGTGCTTCTAGATCCTCTCTCTCCCACACACACACACACACACACACACACACACTTTGACCCCTGCTCAGGGCAAGCCCATGAACCTAAACACCGCCACCCCCCAAGTTGCTGGGGTCAAAGTAACCAAGTAAACAGCAGGATGATGATCTGACAAGGGAAGGGTGCAAGACTGCTTAGGAACTAATTATTTGCAAGGGTTCCAAAAAAGATGCAGCACTCTGCTCTGGTGGGAATCTTTCTGCAGAAGAACTGGGTGTCAGCTCAGGACAAACGCCAGTCGACAACATCTGAAATGCCTCCGAGCACAGAAGCAATCCAGAAGGGAGTGTCTCTGAGCAGTGAGAAACTGTCCAGTCTTTTAATTTATTTGCTTCTTCAGTTTAAGAGAAGATTTACTGTCATTTGATTTTGCTGGACTAGGAAGGAAGGAAGGGAGGAAGGGAGGAGGGAGGGAGGGAGGGAGGACAGGGAAAAGTACAGTGGCGCCTCGCTTTACGATTGCCCTGCATTACGACGAAACTGCATTATGACGATCTTTTTGTGATCGCAATTGCGATTGGAAAACGATGGTCTGAAAAGGTTTTTTTCGCTTTGCGATGATCGGTTCCCTGCTTTGGGAACCGATTCTTCACAAAACGACGATTTTCGGACAGCTGATCGGCGGTTTCAAAATGGCCGCCGGGTAAATAAAATGGCTCCCCACTGTTTTCTGGGATGGATTCCTCGTAAGACAGCCACAAAAAATGGCTGCCCTATGGAGGATCTTCACTGGACGGCGAGTTTCCACCCCATTGGAACACACTGAATGGGTTTCAATGCGTTTCAATGGGCTTTTTATTTTCGCATTACGACATTTTCGTTCTACAGCGATTTCGCTGGAACGAATTAACGTCGTAATGCGAGGCACCACTGTAAATTCTTGTTTACTAGCAGAGAACAAGTTATACACTGACAGATGCCCAGGGTCTCTGGAAACTCCAAGCACTTTGAAGACTGGAGTTTGTCTTCTGGTTTCATGCAACCACACATACACCCTCAAAAACAAACCTCTTGAGGTTGCTGGACTACAACTCCCATCAGGCCCATTCAGCACAGCCAAAGGCGAGGGATGATGGGGGCTGCAGCCCAACCACCCGTTCCCTCCCCACACACACACTCCTGGTCTTGAGGAAACAAACCTCATTTTCTCTGAGCCTTGTAAGTGTTGAGAGTTGTATCTTGCAACCTCACATGCTGCCTTTAGTAGGTTTTGCCAAGAGGGACCTTTCTGGGTTGGGAGGACTGTCCATTAATCCAGCACTAACCAATCATTCCTTCCCAGTCTCTGAATTCAAAGATAGCCCTGCCTTTCTGCTGTGTCTTTCCCCTTCTCTCGCATCTCTGGAAGCAGTCAGTCATGTCAAGTCAGTTTGCTGTTGATTGGCTCAACAGTAAGCAATGAAAACCTTCTGTACTTTCTCATACTAATGTATCAAAATGAGTTATCGACACTGTAAGTGCCAGTTGATGAGAAAAAGTGGTGGACTATTAGACAATGAATCCACATTTGGTTTTAATCTGAACTTTACAAGAACTACCTAAAGTACCTATATTAGATTGCATTTTGTACATTGAAGAGCTTTGGCAAACTTCACAATAAAACAGAGCCATCATCCTTCCTAAGCCAGAATCACCAACTGCACCTGTTATTTTATCCTTCTGTAACAGTGCATGCATTTGGAGAAATTAGGGTTTGGTCTTCAAATGTCTTCACTAATATCCTATTTCTGGAGACCTAAACCCTTCATCTTCACACTGTAGGTCTCCAGTGAAAGGTCTCAAGGTGTTTCCCAGGGATCAGGATGTGGCCAACGGACACATGACAACATAGCTCAAAAGTGACAGACCCAATAGAAGGAGGAAGGAGAGCTGCATCACATAAAAAGAAAAGATGAGCACCTGCATGCAAATCCATGAATCCAGGAGCAGCGTCTGGGTAAGCATAGAAGAAGAGAGAGAAACAGATATGATAACATTTGGGCAACATAAACCAAACCCCCAAGCCAATCAGAAGATACTGTTAGTACAGTACTAAAGGCGGAAAGAGCTAATAAACCATTCTGCAAAGACCAGCCAGAAAATGCAACAGAGAGCTTCACCTATCCGGACATCTACAGGAGGTCTAGAATGGTTAAGAATGGACTGTCCAGTCAACTGTCATCACGCTGAGAACTCTCAGCTCTCAGAAGGTTGAAGGAACAAACAGAAGAAACAATATTGTCTTGGACTTGATCCTTCCCAGGGAAGACAGGTTTGATGCTTGTTGTGGGTTTTCCAGGCTGTTTGGCCGTGTTCTGGAGGTTTTTCTTCCGAGATTATTGCAATGCGCTCTACGTGGGGCTGCCTTTGAAGATGGTCCAGCGACTGCAACTGGTCCAGAATCAAGCTGCGCGGCTGGTGAGTGGTGAGGCTGCTAGGGGACACATCAAGCCAATTCTGTTTAAGTTACATTGGCTACCAGTTGCTGCCCGGGCCCAATTCAAAGTGCTTGTTTTGACTTATAAAGCCCTAAACGGCTTGGGCCCTGGATACCTGAAGGAACGCCTCCTTCCATATGAGCCTACCTGGCAGTTAAGATCTAGCCAGGGGGCCCTTTTGAAAGAGCCCGTCCCTCAAGGAGGTAAGAGGGACGGCTTGTAGACAAAGGGCCTTTTCGGCAGCTGCCCCCAGACTATGGAATGCCCTCCCGAGTGAGATTTGTCTGGCGTCGACGTTGATGACATTTCGGCGCCAGGTCAAAACCTTCCTGTTCCAGAAAGCTTTTAATGGAAATAATATCAGCTGTGGGTCCTTATGGCAATTTTAATTGTATTTTAATCATTTTATCTTTTATTGTATTTTAATTGTTGCAAGCCGCCCAGAGACCTTTGGGTAGAGTGGGCGGCATATAAGTTAAATAAATAAATAAAACATTCAGGCTGCCCTTTGCACCTAAACAAACTGCTACTGCAAATGGCAGCAGTAGCGAGCCTGGCCACCTTTTTACTTTCTCCTCTAGGTTGCATCATTTTAGGACATTGTAGTAATGAAACCGGTGGGAGTGGGCAGGAAATCATGAAAAACTGGTGAATGAATATTGAAAGTAACTGCAGAGTGCCCTTCTATTTGTACGTAAGTACCAGTCTCTCTGTGCCCGGCATCTTCAGAGGACCGGAGCTAGAACTCTTGTCTGTGTTCCCACACACTACACCAGAACACAGACAGAGTGCTGTCCTCTGAAGAGGCCCATGGCCACAGAAACTGGCGAAACGTTAGGAAGAACAACCTCCAGAACACGGCCAAACAGCCCGGAAAACCCACAACAACCATACTGAAGGAGGTTTGGGCAACATGTGCTTCACAGGTTGAAAGCAAGTCATGACTAGAGTAGACTCATTTGAATTCATGGGATTGTACAGAGGTGATTCATCAAAACCCCACAGACTCAGTAGGCTTTTACTACACAGTTTACCATATTTTTCCATGTATAAGACTATACTTTTGTCTAAAATCTTTAGACTAAAAATTGAGGGTCATCTTATACACGGGAGTAAGGGGGAGAGATAAATACCCAACTATCCCACAAAACTGCACCAGAGCACAGACAAGAGTTCTGACTCCTGTCCTCTGGAGATGCCGGCCACAGAGACTGGCGAAACGTTAGGAAGCAAATCCTCCAGAACACGGCCAGACAGCGCGGAAAAACCCACAACAACCCTCAGATCCCAGCCATGAAAGCCTTCAAGAATACATTGAGGATAGATTTGATCACTCATAATCATCCCTACGTCAATTACCTCCCTTACTTGACTACTCTCAGACACTCTGTATGGGGCTGAATTTGGCGTTTGGAAGCTAGAGTGGGAGCAAATTGTGGAGACCACCAGCCCATTACCTGACAGCCACTTTAACCTTGGCCTTGAACCCGCTTGCCCTGACTTCTGATTTGCTTCTGAGTTCAATCCACTGCTTTGGTTTTGATCCACCAAGCCCCATCTGTTGAGCTTCTGAACAGCTAGTGACTTTTTTACCTTTCACCCCCCCCAAAAAAAATTATAAACGCTAACATTACCCCTTGATTTGAAAGTAAGGAAATCATACATTATTTGAATTCAAAATATTATTGAATCTGAAAAGGCTGTGTACTGAACTAGCAGGATATATCATAAGTATCAATGGCTGCCAGGCTATGTACCGAACTAGCAGGATGCTCCAAATTTAATAAAGATGTGCACTATTTTTGCTGGAACACATTGGACTCCAGCCATGGGGTGGTATAGGGAGTAGTAAGGTGTCCAACGTGCCTAGCAAGTTGCATTAAATTTTTGTTAGCTTGCAGAGGATTTAATCATCATCAATGACTGCCAGAGTGGTGCTAGCAATGGGGGGGGGGCGGTTTTCCTACCACTTTATTCATTCTGTGTGTGGTTTGCAAAAAGGAACAAACCAGGCTAAAGATCATGTCACCCACCCTGGTGCCACAGCCCAACATCAAAGACCAGTGCACTATTTTTTTTTTTATCATCATCAATGGAAAACTCAGCAGTGGCCAGAAGACTGGAAAAGATCAGTCTACATCCCAATCCCAAAGAAGGAAAGTGCCAAAGAATGCTCCAACTACCGTACAATTGCACTCATTTCCTACGCTAACAAGGTTATGCTCAAAATCCTACAAGGTAGGCTTTGCTCATTACCCCCAGGATTTTCATTTTTACCCCATTTGGGGTAATTCACCCGTTCCCAGACCACTGAGATGGTCTTTCATTGTTACTTAAAAGGGTGTTAATTTCTTGGCCTCGAAAACTGCCTTCGAGAGAAAGTTTTAAAAACTTTTAAATCTGTTTTTAATCATTGACCTCTCTTATGCATTGCTTTGGGAAGCTGTTGGTCAGAACAGCAATGAGCTATAAATGTATTTATTTGTGTTTGTATAGGTTTGCACACACGCACACATACATATATATACCAATTTCACTCTGCAGGGAAAAAGAAGTGGGCGGAATGAAAAGAACAGGAACATTGGGGAAAAGCGAACATGGTATATTAGGAATTTGAGATCGCAAAGCCACTTAGAGGAGAACAGTCAGGCGTGACTTTAGGAAATCAGATTTCAAAAGCCGAGAAAGACGTTAGAAGATCCTAAGGGGCAAAAGCTCCTGACGGAAAACGACGGAAAAGTTCTGAAAGCACAACTCCAAACCGTTTCCATAGGAAGAAAAAAGAAAGACATTTAATGCACTGACAGGTTTCATCCCATTCCCAAGCATACTAGGCTCTTGTCTGATTTTGGAAGCTAAGCAGGGTCAAGTTCACTTAGTGCTTGGATGGGAGACACCCACAAGGGTACGTAATCCAGGTAGCGCTAGAGAGGGTGAACCTTTTTGAGCCCGAGTGCCCAAATCCAGGTAGCGCTAGAGAGGGTGAAACTTTTTGGGCCCGAGTGCCCAAACGGCAACACAAAACCGACTTATTTATTTCAAAGTGCCAACACTGCAATTAAACCTGAATACTGAGTCTTCAGTTTATAGAAATAACAACTCTGCATGGTTTCAATGCTTGTTGCTGTTTTTTTCTTAGGGGCGGTATTAACAGAGAAACACCTACCAGTGCTCCAATCCCCCATTGTGTTAGACCAGTAATGGCCACCATTGCACCCCTCCACTGGACCACTGCACCAGCAGAGGGGAGTGCCAAAGTTTGGTAAGTATTTCTCAATGGCGCCTTATGGCTCTGCATGCCAGCTGCGGCACACGTGTTATAGGTTCGCCATCACGGCACTAAAGGAGGATGATTTCTGAAATCTTGCACACCCTTTGCTGCTGGTCAGAGTGGACTGCACGGAGAAAAACAAGGCAAGAATCTCCCTCTGCCTAGGGCAGCTTTCTATGCTCCTCTAGCTGCAGAAGGAACTCTTCTTATGAGCTGGGATCCAGACAAGGAACGCACATAGAAAGTACTAAGTGAACCTGATTAATATCAGCCGACATGGGAGTTATGAAGACTACGCCGGTCCAGCCTTATCCATTCCTTTTTATACAGCTACTAGTTGGAATGCTATAGACATAATATATCTTGATTGTAACTTCTGGACCAAATATTGTGTTATATTCTTGAATAAGAATGTGGAAGGGGTCTAGGCAATCAAGGTGGGCAACTCGTACAGAACTGGGGGAACACATTTTCACGCTAATACCCACCACAGGCCACAGAAGGCCCCAAAGAGTGTAAACACACACACACACACACCTCTCTCTCTCTCTCTCTCTCTGCAAATCAGCTGTGGAGTGAGGTCAAAACCAGAAGTGGTTGGAAATCCATCTTTAATTTGCATTGCTTTAGGTGGGGTTTTCTTTGACCAGGTGAGCGCAACCTACCGATGCAAAACCCATCCCTTGTGGATGCACCCCAGAGCAGAAAAGCCCATTTTTCTTGGGGAATCTGTCACACAGGAGAGAGAAAGGGCTGGGCAGTGGCTGCAGTCGTAGTCTTCAGAAGTCTCTTCTACAATCTATGGATAAGCCGCAGCGCTAAGTCACATGTCCTCACCATCGGGTTTCTCATGGCTTATCAGTCTTCCCAAGCAGTGGTTGCCAGCCTTGGGTCTCTGGATATTCTTGGACTAAAATTCCCAGAAGCCTTCACCGCTAGTTGTGCTGGCCAGGGTTTCTGGGAATTGTAGTCCAAGAACACCTGGGTGACCCAAGGTTAGGAACCACTGCCGTAGACCATCTTGACTGCTGACATGTGTGTCATCAACATTCAGGTTGCCCCTTCGCTATGTAAAGCTTGCCATCCTTTTAACCCGCCGGCAACAGGAACATCTGGGGACCAAAGGTTAGGAACCACCGCCCTAAAGCACTGTTCAGATAGCAGGGAAGCACCAGCTAAGTGAGCTGTGCTTTTCTTCCTTCTCCATGCAAAGGGAGAATGAGATGGGATTTTAAGTTGAATCA